TTTTGGAAGAGAAGAAGCTTTGGGCGTCCCCGGCTTTTAAGGGGAAACAAAAAGCTTTAAAAGGGGGGGGAGAGTTTCAGTGGAGAGGAATTTAAAAGGGGGTTAGGGGGGGTTTTAAAAAAGAGTTAGAGCTAAAGAAAGAGTACAATAATGTTGAAGGGTTTAAACCCTTTGGGAGGAAAAGAGGGGGCTGTAAAAGTTAAAATTTTTTTAAAATTTTTTGAGTAAAATAAAAAAATTTGGGTGTTTAAAAATGGGTTTTTTGTAAGCGTGTATGCCCTGGGGAAAAGAGAAGTGTTGGGAGGAAAAGGGGATTTTTGGGGAAATTTTTTGAGTGAATGCTTAGGGGTTTTGAAACAAGTGTGAGAGTAATTGTGGCTGGGGGGTTTCAAAAGCCCAAAGGGGGTAAAAATGTTTTTGGAGGGGGGGTAGTAGGTAAATTTTTGGGGGCCAGGGGGAAAAGTAAATGGGAGCCTTTAAAGGGGTTATTTTTAGAAAGGGATTTCGTAATAAGTAAAAACATATTTTATGAAAAAAAGGATAAATAAATATACAAAGGGAGGGTGGAGCACGTTAATTTAAAAAATAGTTTATTGATTATGTATTGGGGGATTAAAAAGGTTTTATGGGTAGGGTCCAGGGAAAGTACAAGTTTATAAGGGGGGCAACGGGTAACGGATCATTATTAGTTGTACTACATTATGTAAGAGGTAGGAAAGGGGGAAAAAAGGAAGGGGCAACAACAAATAAGAGGGGGGTAAAGTGTTTTTAAAATAAGGGGGGAGGAAGGGTTTGGGTGAGATATAATGATATTGGCAGAAAGTTGGGTAGTGAAAAGGGTGAGATGGGGGGGGGGGGTTGAAGAGGGTTGGAAAAGTTTTAAAAAGCAGCATTAGAATGTGGGGCAGAAGTTTGTGGTTATAGGAGGGGGGGGCAGGAGGGAAAAAAAGGGGTGATTGGTGGAATGATGAAGTAAAGGGTGTGATTTAAAAAAGGAAAAAATTAGCAGGGTGGGCCCAAAAAAAAAAAGAAAAAAACCCCAAAAAAAAAATACTTTTATCATCATTCAAACTTTCACCCACCGCACATTATCCAGTTTTTTTCAAAAAAGAAACCCCAGAATAACCCAAAAGTTTAAAGCCTACACATAAAAGATACACAACATATCCCTCCAAACTGCCAAAAATCCCCAAACCCCCCCTTTAAATGCCGGCATTGTAAATTTTCCCATTTCCAGGGCTCAAGTCCGGGCTAATAAAAAAACGTAACGGGGGTTTTTTGAAAACCCTTTACTTTAAAAATTACCCCTGCTCACACTCCAACAGATCGTCAGGGCCCCAAATTTCCCTTCGTCTCCATTCACTCCCATCTAAAACACTCCCCGCACTTTGTGGAAGTTTCCCAGCCCCTTGCCCCAAAACCTCCTTTCCCCCTCTTCCAAACCCTTTTTGAGGACCACCCTACCCCCGCCTTCCTTCCCCATAGATTTATATGTTTCCAAAGTCATTTTAAAATTTTATCCCTTCTCTTAAATGACCAAACCAACCCCAAAAAAACCCCCCTTCTGCCCCTGACTATTTCTTTTATTTCTCCAACCTTTTCCTAATTTCCCCACTCCAAAATTTTTTGCATAAAATTTTTTCACCACACATTGGGCCCCTTTTTCAGGGCTTTTCCAGCCTCCAACCCTTTTCCCCCACTGCTGCATTTACCCCCAAGCTTCAAAACCCCCTAAAGATGTTTGGGACTACTATACTTTCATAATTCCCTTTCTTTTCCTCCATTTGGGTAACGTTTTTTTTACTCCAATAATCTCAAAAAACCATCACCTTTTTCCCCCATCAATTTTTTATGATTAAAACCCCATCCTTCCTTTAAAACCATCCCCCAACAAAGTCAACTCCCAATTAAACTGAAAAAATTCCCCTTCTTCCATACTCCTCCTTTTCCCCCAAATTTTTTAATCCAATTTTTTTTTTTCCCAATCATTTGACAAAAACCCCATCACCTTTTCTTTTTCCCATGTTCAAATTTCAACTTTCTACCTTTACCCCACATTCCCAAAAATCATCCCCTAACCTTTTTCAATTTTTTTTTTTAGAATCTCCCATAAGCACAGTAAAATCAGCAAAAAAATAAAGTTTCAATTTTCCCCTTTTGAATTTTTATTTCCCCCAAAATTTTTTTCCCACCCCTCTTTCCCAAAAAAACCCTAGCATTTTTCCTTTTTAAACCCCCTCTATAAAATTTTAAACAACCTTGGTTTACATTACACCCCCCTGTCTTAAAAACTTTAAAATTTTTTACCGGGAAATAGTCTCCCCTCTTAATTTCACACCCTAACCTGAGCCCCACTTTCCCCATAAAAACTCTTTACAGCATTTAATTAAAAAACCACCATTCCATATACTTGCAACATCTGCCCCATTGCTCCTCTAATCCACTCTATCATATGCCCTTTTCTAAAACCATTAAAAGCAATAAAAACTTCCGTACATTTTATTAAAAAACGTTCACATTATGCCAATGTAAACACTTGATCTCCCCATCCCCCCCCCACTCTGAAACCTCCCTTGCTCATCCCCCAATTTACTTTTGGCTTTCCCCCCAAAAACTTTTTTAATTTTAAACCCCACCCTACACTTTTTTCCCGGGGAAAAATTTAGTAAACTTATTCCTCAAAAAATTTTTACATCTCTTTTGTCCCCTTTCCCCTTTTTTTAAAGGGGTATACGTGCTTCCCCCCAATCCCCAGGTACCTTCCCCTTTTCCCTAAAATTTATTAAAAAAAAAGACCCAACCCCTCCAAAACTTTTCCCCCCCCGCTTTTAAAATTTCTGTCATGATCCCCTCAGTTCCGCTGCTTTACCCCCTTTTATTTTACGTAATGCCTCACGTTTCCTCCCCCCACTTTACATTTGCTCCTTTTTTTCACTCCCCAAAAGAAAGGATACCTCCCTGACCAGTGCATGAAATTACTGCCTCTGTTTCTTCCTTAACATTTGAAAGTTCCTCAAAATATTCTCGCGCCATCTACCTAATACCTCCATCTCCCCATCTTCTATCTCCCCTACTCTGTTTTTAACTGACAAATCCATACTTTCCCTAGGCTTTCTTAACTTGTTTAACTCACTCCAAAATTTTTTTCTTATTTTCATTAGAATTTCTTGACAGTGCCTCTCCCACTCTATCATCTGCTCTCCTTTTGCACTCTCTCACCACTCTCTTTACCTTTCTTTTACTCTACATATACTCTGCTCTTCTTATAACACTTCTGCTTTGTAAAAACCTCTCATAAGCTAACTTTTTCTCTTTTATCACACCCTTTACTTCATCATTCCACCAATCACTCCTCTTTCCTCCTGCCCCCACCCTCCTATAACCACAAACTTCTGCCCCACATTCTAATGCTGCATTTTTAAAACTATTCCAACCCTCTTCAACCCCCCCCCCCCCCACTACTCATCTTTGCACTAGCCAACTTTCTGCCAATAGTCACTTATATCTCACCCGAACTTCCTCCTCCCTTAGTTTATACACTTTCACCTCCCTCTTACTTGTTGTTGCCACCTTCCTCTTTTCCCATCTACCTCTTACTCTAACTGTAGCTACAACTAAATAATGATCCGATATATCAGTTGCCCCTCTGTAAACTTGTACATTCTGGAGCCTACCCATCAACCTTTTATCCACCAATACATAATCTAATAAACTACTTTCATTACGTGCTACATCATACCTTGTATATTTATTTATCCTCTTTTTCATAAAATATGTATTACTTATTACGAAATCTCTTTCTACACATAGCTCAATTAAAGGCTCCCCATTTACATTTACCCCTGGCACCCCAAATTTACCTACTACTCCCTCCATAACATTTTTACCCACTTTAGCATTGAAATCCCCAACCACCAGTACTCTTACACTTGATTCAAAACTCCCCACGCATTCACTCAACATTTCCCAAAATCTCTCTCTCTCCTCTACACTTCTCTCTTCTCCAGGTGCATACACACTTATTATAACCCACTTCTCACATCCAATCTTTATTTTACTCCACATAATCCTTGAATTAATACATTTATAGTCCCTCTGTTCCTGCCATAGCTTATCCTTCAACATTATTGCTACTCCTTCTTTAGCTCTAACTCTATTTGAAACCCCTGACCTAATCCCATTTATTCCTCTCCACTGAAACTCTCCCACCCCTTCAGCTTTGTTTCACTTAAAGCCAGGACGTCCAGCTTCTTCTCATTCATAACATCCACAATCATCTCTTTCTTATCATTTGCACAACATCCACGCACATTCAGACTTCCCACTTTGACAATTTTTTTCTTCTTATTCTTTTTAGTAATCTTTACAGGAAAAGGGGTTACTAGCCCATTGTTCCCGGCATTTTAGTTGACTTTTACAACACGCATGGCTTACGGAGTAAAGATTCTTATTCCACTTCCCCATGGATATAAAAGGAAAAGTAATAAGACCAAGAACTATTAAGATAAAATCAAAGAAAACTCAGATGAGTGTGTATAAATAAATGTGTACATGTATGTGTAGTGTGACCTAAGTGTAAGTAGAAAATATATATATATATATATATATATATATATATATATATATATATATATATATTATATATATATATATATATATATATATATATATAATGTGTGCTAGTATTGTTTCCTTTATCTTGCTTGTATCAGTAACAGGCATACAGTAACTAAACATTTATAAAGGCTAGAGTGGTATGATAGAAAAATTCCAAATCAGCAAGTGTTACAGTATATCACAGGTACACTATATGCATTAATAATACCTGTATTGATTTTTTTTTTTTTGTATTAATACTATACCAAATTGGCTACTTCCCACAAAGGTCAGGTGACCAAAAGAAGGAAACCAACTTATCACTCATGTTCAAGGTGTCCTTCCAGAAGCCCTATGATATCACACTTCAGATGACCCAATATTAAATTATTTATTTTTTAAAGGGGAGGAGGAGAGCAGTGATGAGACAGTTGTTGGATGGGATGAACTTGTGGGTGGTGATCTGTGCCTTGATGCCCTGCGTTACTTGCACCGCTGTGCTGCTATCCTGGCCTCCATGTATGAGATGCCAGCTTGTCCAGTCTTCCATGCTGCACACAGGTATCAGTTCTGTCATAATGGCCAATGCATTTTCTCTGTCTCTGTACATCAACAATGATTGCTAGGGGCTTTATTATAGCAGACGTGTCCAGAATAAACTGTGTATAATACGTATAGCTCTTGCATTAGACTCGCTTACTACAGTACATTTTCTTCTTCTTTAAAACATTAGCTCTCTTCTTGCTTTCTCTACACACTATATGCCCAACAGAATTCTGGTAAGAAGATTATATTTTGCAAGTTTTAGTATCCTATCTTTATTATTTCCTAGTATCCTGCCTTGGGAGTGTTTATTCCTTGTAAGTTATACAGTGGACCCCCGGTTAACGATATTTTTTCACTCCAGAAGTATGTTCAGGTGCCAGTACTGACCGAATTTGTTCCCATAAGAAATATTGTGAAGTAGATTAGTCCATTTCAGACCCCCAAACATACACGTACAAACGCACTTACATAAATACACTTACATAATTGGTCGCATTCGGAGGTAATCGTTATGCGGGGGTCCACTGTATTTATTATGAAACATAATGTGTCTTTATTTTCCCCTGAAAGGAAGTTCTTTGATGCCAATGAGGTGCCCTTGATCCAAAGAAATGGCCCTCCCCTTTTCCTTGGATCTAACCTGAATACATCCCATTCCTCTCTGGGTGCTGTATGACCCCTACAGGTTTAGTGTTTCCCAATGACTGTTATAATAATGATAATATAAGTATTTTATGTGTGTGCCTCTTTAATATAGTGCTTTCACCAGTTTTACTTAACTTTTCACCAATTAACAGGAAATAGTTTTATTACACTTACATACTTTTGAAGCTACATGTAGACTTGGTTTCCACTGTGTAATTGTTCAATTTATTACATTTTTTAACACATGTTAAATAAGTGTTTTATTACTTTGGCTTATTTGAGTGTGTAATGTACAATAATATGTAGAAGTGTGTGAGGTAGGGGCAAAATGAAAGTGGGTAAAGCAACTGTGTCAGACGGATTAAGGCTGAGATGTTACAGGCACCGAGGAGTCTGTGGAGACAAAGAACATTATCCATGGAAGCAAAGAGGGAATGTATGAGAGTATAGTTATACCAACGCTCTTATATGGGTGTTAAGCATGGGTGGTGAATGTTGCAACAAGAAGGCTGGAGACAGTGGAGATGTTGTGTCTGAGGACAATGTGCAGTGTGAATATAATGCAGAGAATCCATAGTTTGGAAGTTAGGTGGTGTGGAGTTATTAAAAGTATTATCCAGAGGGCTGACAAGGGGTTGAGGTGGTTTGGTCATTTAGAGAGAATGGAACTAAATAGAATGACTTGGAGAGCGTATAAATCTGAAGTGAAAGGAAGGCGGAGTAAGGGTCAGCCTAGGAAAGTTTGGAGGGAGGGGGTAAAGGAGATTTTGTGTTCAAGGAGCTTGGACTTCCAGAAAGCATGCATGAGCATGTTAGATAGGAGCAAGTGGAGACAAATGGTTTTTATGAATTGACATGCTGTTGGAGTATGAGCAAGGTAACACTTATGAAAGGATTCAGGGAAACCGGCAGGCGGTCTTAAGTGCTGGAGGTGGGAAGTACAGTGCCTTCACTCTGAAGGATGGGTGGTGATAAGTTGCATTTTTATAACTGTGGTATAGGTGCACCTCTGGCACGACAGTGATGGAGTGAATGATGAAAGTGTTTCTTCTTTTTTGGGTCACCATGCCTTGGTGGGAAACAGCTAATGTGTTAATAAAAAAAAAAAAATGTTACAGGCAGATGGGGATGTAGCTTTGGAGTGGTTAGTGTAGTATTTGCTCAATATGTACATGTTATAAGGGAAAGTACCTAAGGATCGGAAGAGAGCATGCATACCTTAGTTCCTTTGTACAGTGGACCCTTGGCTATCGGCCGTTCTGGATATCGACCAACTCAGTTATTGCCCAGTTTTTTGGCCAAAATTTTATTCTGGTTATCGGCCGTTATTTTGCTCATCGGCTGTATTGGACGCGTCCACCCGCCAGCTGCTCGCACATTTGTGAGTCAGTCTGGCTGTGTTTCTGGGCGAACGAAGAAACTTCTGTGCCTTCATTGAAACATTGCACTATAATCCATTGCTTTTTGTGGTTATTGATTGAGTGCAACTGCAAAATAAGCAACCATGGGCCCAAAGAAAGTTCCTAGTAAAGCTCCTTTGGTAAAGAAAGTGAGAAACACGATGGAATTTAAGAAAGAAGTTGTTGAAAAGTATGAGAGTGAAGGAGAAAGAGAGAGGAGAGAATGTGCCTCCTTCAGTGATTCTACGATATGTACGATACTAAAGCAGCAGGAGCCAGTAAAGGCTATAGTGCCAGCCAGTGATAAAGTATGGCATTAACAGTGTAGCAAGTAAGTTAAGCGATTAAGCAATAGAAAAGGGACGACACGAAACTGACTCCTCCAGTGTTTTTGAAGGTACAGTGCAACCCCAAGTGTTGAATGCATCGACTATCGAACGATTTGAGTTTCGACCACTTATGTCATATTAGATGAATTGTGATAGATAAATAAGCTGTAGAGTTGATAATAGCGTCATATTAAAGTACTATTTTGTCATGCCTCCTGACAGCAGGAACGAATTAATTTGATTTACATTATTTCTTATGGGAAATACTGCTTCAAGTTTCGAATGCTTCAACTTTAGAACTAGCTCCTGGAACGGATTAAGTTTGAATCTTGGGGTACCACTGTACATTTGGCCTGTTATCGGCCAACTCGGTTATAGGCCAGTTTTTCGGCTACCAGTTATTGGCCATATTGGACGCGTCCCTCCGCCGGCTGGGTCAACTTGCACGTCAGTTTGGCTCGCTCTCTTGGTGCACGAGGAAGCTTCTTCTCATTCATCCAAACATTTCACTTGTTTCTCATTGTTTTAGGTGGTTTTTTTTGCCAGTGCAACTGCAAAATAAGTAACCATGGCTCCAAAGAAAGTTCTTAGTAAAGTTCCTGTGGCAAAGAAAACGAGAAACACCATGGAATTTAAGCGTGAAGTTATTGAAAAATATGAGAGAGATGTGAGGGTGCTGGAACTTCCCAAGATGTAGGGGAAAAATAAATCTACCATCACTTCCATTCTGGCAAAGAAAGAACAAATCAAGGAAGCTGATGTTGGAGAAGGAGTAAATATGATTACAAAACAAAGGTCACCAATAATGGAGGATACGGAAAAGTTATTGTTATTGTGGGTTAAGGAAAAACATTTAGTGGGAGGCAGTGTTGTGGAGTCGATTATTTGTGAGAAGGCAAGGTAGTTGCATGAGGATCTTGTGAAGAAAACTCCTGGAACAAGTGGTGCTGTTAGTGAATTTAGGGCCAGCAAAGGCTGTTTTGAGAGATTTGAGAAGCATAGTGGCATACACAGTGTGGTAAGGCATGGTGAGGCTGCCTTAGTCTTCAATAAAGGTATGTAATACTGATTTAATTGTTAAAAAAAAAAAAAATTTGTGAATATTTTTGTCTGGAACGGATTAATTGTATTTACAACTGGCATAGGCTCCTCAGGGTTAGCTGCAAACCCTTCAAAATCCCTCTCTTGTACACATTGTGGCCACAGTTTTCTCCAAGCAGAGTTCAAAGTACTGGAAGTCACTCCCTCCCAAGCCTTACCTGTAAGGTTTATGCAATGGAAGATATTGAAGTGATCTTTCCAGAACTCTCTTAGGGTCAATTCAGTGTGTGAGGTCATTTGAGAGCACTTATGAAACACTGCTTTGTTATGGTCCTTGAAGGTGAGATCCTCCGACATGATCACTCCCAGGTCTTTGACTTTGGTTTTTCGCTCTATTTTGTGGCCGGAATTTGTTTTGTACGCTGATGAAGTTTTAATTTCCTCGTGTTTACCATATCGGAGTAATTGAAATTTCTCATCATTGAACTTCATATTGTTTTCTGCAGCCCATTGAAAGATTCAGTTGATGTCCACCTGGAGCCTTGCAGTGTCTGAAATGGAAGACACTGTCGTGCAGATTCGGGTGTCATCTGCAAAGGAAGACATGGTGCTGTGGCTGACATCCTTGTCTATGTCAGGAATGAGGATGAGAAACAAGATGGGAGTGAGTACTGTGCCTTGTGGAACAGAGCTTTTCACCGTAGCCGCCTCAGACTTTACTCTGTTGACGACTACTCTTTGTGTTCTGTTTGTGAGGAAATTATAGATCCATCTACCAACTTTTCCTGTTATTCCTTTAGCACGCATTTTGTGCGCTATTATGCCATGGTCACACTTGTCGAAGGCTTTTGCAAAGTCTGTATATATTACATCTGCATTCTTTTTGTCTTCTAGTGCATCTAGGACCTTGTCGTAGTGATCCAATAGTTGAGACAGACAGGAGCGACCTGCTCTAAACCCATGTTGCCCTGGGTTGTGTAATTGATGGGTTTCTAGATGGGTGGCGATCTTGCTTCTTAGGACCCTTTCAAAGATTTTTATGATGTGGGATGTTAGTGCTATCGGTCTGTAGTTCTTTGCTATTGCTTTACTGCCCCCTTTGTTGAGTGGGGCTATGTCTGTTGTTTTTAATAGCTGTGGGACGACCCCCGTGTCCATGCTCCCTCTCCATAGGATGGTAAAAGCTCGTGATAGGGGCTTCTTGCAGCTCTTGATGAACACAGAGTTCCATGAGTCTGGCCCTGGGGCAAAGTGCATGGGCGTGTCATTTATCGCCTGTTTGAAGTTATTTGGCGCCGGGATAACATCAGATAGGCTTGTGTTAACCAAATTCTGTGGCTCTCTCCTAAAAAATTCATTTTGATCTTCGACTCTCAGTTTGGTTAGCAGCTTGCTAAAAACTGAGTCATATTGGGACTTAATTAGCTCATTTCCTTGCTGTCATCTGTGTAGGACCCATCTTGTTTAAGTAGGGGCCCAATACTGGACATAGTTCTCGACTTTGATTTGGCTTAAGAAAAGAAATACTTTGGGTTTCTTTCGATTTCATTTATGGCTTTTAGTTCTTTGCGCGATTCCTGACTCCTATAAGATTCCTTTAGCTTAAGTTCGATGTTTGCTATTTCTCTGACCAGTGTCTCCCTACGCATTTCAGATATATTGGCGTCTTTTAGCCGCTCTGTTATTCTTTTTCGTCACCTGTAAAGGGAGAGAGATTTTTTACACAGACGTGCAGTCACTGTAATATTCATAGGTTCTTCCAAAGCTGATATGATATTAAGACCACATATTATAAAAAAAAAATGGATAGATAATTAAACTTCAATAGGTCTTACAGCAGTTTACATTAAATAAATATTCAGCTACATTATACACTGTATACCATAATATATTTAATATTTTGTAGAAGCTATCTAAAATAGTGTACATGATATTGCCAAAATTGAGGTAATTTGTTCTATGAGCATTCTGCTCATTGTTATTGGGATGAATAAGTGACAAGAGGAACTTTGACAGACATTAGAGTTTGATTATGCTTTGCAGGATCACTATGAACTCTCCACCTCAGCTAGTAGACCCGCATCTGCCCAATGTTGATGAGAATCTCTTAGGCTCATTGGTCAATGAAATAACTGAAATGGATGCTAATGAGGTGGGTTAGCTATATTTGTCTCATTGTTTTAATGTTGTAATAATTAGTTCCTGCTCAATTTATGTGTAATTTTTTCTGATCAATTTATAATATGTAATATTTTAATTTGTATGCAGTTTTCTCTTGTTAATCGCATGATATACCATATTAGAAGATGTAATATAAGATCAGTGTACTGCACTACTGTAAAACTGCTTGATTAAAATTATAGTAGAATGTCAGTTAGAGTGCAGTTAGACTGCGTGAGGGTGTCCCAACATGATTGCAAAATTGTAACTTTTTTTTTTTCTTTAACACACTGGCCGTCTCCCACTGAGGCAGGGTGACCAAAAAAAGGAAACACTTTTACCATCATTCACACATAATCACTCTTTGCAGAGGTGCCCAGATATGACAGTTTAGATGTCACTCCAAACAGTCAATATCCCAAATTCCCCCTTTAAATTGCAGGCATTGCACTTCCCACCTCCAGGACTCAAGTCCAGCTTATTGGTTTCCCTGAATCCCTTCACAAAATATTTATTTATTTATTTATTTTATTTATTTAATAATTTGAACATACGTACAGAGGTACAAAAAAATACAGGTAAGAGCAGCATGCCAAAGCCAATTGTATGCATAGCATTACGGGCTGGCTTAAAATTAACTTAAGATTAACTAAGCAATGATGTAATCAGTGATAAAACATTATTGTAAACAAATAACAATAAAACACAAATGAGTATTACAAAGACAGGTCATATGGTTGCATGCATTGCTGTACATTCAGTAGAATGGAGTATTCCATTAGGTAGTGTATTTAAATAATAACAAAGATAGATTGGGTCTTAGGTTTAACATTTATGTGATATAATTGTGAGAAACATTTAAGATATACAATTTATAAGATTCAGTTATTCAGTTGTAGGTAGTAGGTTGGTAGACAGCAACCGCCCAGGGAGGTACTACCGTCCTGCCAAGTGAGTGTAAAATGAAAGCCTGTAATTGTTTTACATGATGGTAGGATTGCTGGTGTCTTTTGTCTGTCTCATAAATATGCAAGATTACAGGTAAGTCTTGCTACTTCTACTTACACTTAGGTCACACTACACATACATGTACAAGCATATATATACACACCCCTCTGGGTTTTCTTCTATTTTCTTTCTAATTCTTGTTCTTGTTTATTTCCTCTTATCTCCATGGGGAAGTGGAACAGAATTCTTCCTCTGTAAGCCATGCGTGTCGTAAGAGGCGACTAAAATGCCGGGAGCAAGGGGCTAGTAACCCCTTCTCCTGTATATATTACTAAATTTAAAAGGAGAAACTTCAGTTTTTTCTTTTGGGCCACCCCACCTCAGTGGGATACGGCTGGTACGTTGAAAGAAGAAGAAGTTATTCAGTATTTATTTGGTTTTGGGTGAGTAAGTGATCTTTGAGAAGAGACTTGAATTTATAAACAGGTAGTGTTTCTTTTATATTTACAGGTAATTAATTCCAGATTTTAGGGCCTTTTATGTGCATTGAGTTTTTGCATAGCGTGAGATGGACACGAACATCAAAGAGTGATCTGTGCCTTGTGTTATGGTCATGTGTTCTGTTGAGGTTGGCAAGGAGATGTTTGAGGGGAGGGTTAATATCAGAGTTAAGTGTTCTATGTATGTAATAGGTGCAGTAATAAGTATGGATGTTTTGTACGGTGAGTAGGTTTAGAGTTTTGAATATTGGTGGAGTGTGCTGCCTGTAGTGGGAATTTGTTATCATTCTGACAGCAGCCTTTTGTTGGGTAATTAGTGGTCTGAGATGGTTAATTGTTGTTGAGCCCCATGCACAAATTCCATAGGTGAGATAGGGGTAAATAAGAGAGTGATATAGGGCCAGGAGGGCTGACTGTGGAACATAGTACCATATCTTCAATAGTATGCCTATGGTCTTGGAAATTTTCTTAGAAATTTGTTTTATATGTGTATAAAATTTGAGTCTATTATCAAGGTGGATTCCTAAGAATTTTCCCTCTGTTAGCTTTGTGATAGGTGATCCATTTATCATTATGTTAAGAGGGACATCTGTAGCTCTGTTACCAAACTGAATGAAGTAGGTTTTGTCAATGTTTAGTGTAAGTGTGTTAGTCCTCATCCAGGTAATTCGGTATTTACAGTATTGGCTAGCATGACTGGGCTCGGTGAGAGAAGACGTATGTAGTGTCTTCTGCAAATAGTGTGGGTTTGAGAAATTGTGAAGCATTTGGTAGGTCATTTATGTATAGGAGAAAGAGAAGAGGGCCAAGGACACTTCCCTGTGGGACACCAACTGTAATTGGTTGCGCGGAAGAGTTTGCCCCATTTGCGTGCACATATTGGCTTCTGTTGCTGAGGTATGACTTGAGGTAGTTGAGGGAGTGCCCTCTTATACCATAGTGTGACAATTTTATGTGGAGCAAGTCATGGTCAACTGTATCAAAAGCTTTACGTAAGTCAATGAAGATCCCCAGTGGGACTTCTTTTTTCTCTATTGCAGTGTAATATATGTTCTAGCATGTGTATATAGCATCATTAGTATTTTTATTAGGCCTGAATCCAAATTGGCAGGGGTTGAGTATGTTTTGGGAGATGAGGTAGGAGTAGATTTGTTTATGAATTAATTTTTCGAAGATTTTAGAGAGAGGGTGTAAGTTGGATATTGGCCTATAGTTATTCAACTCTGTTTGGTCTCCTCCTTTATGGATCGGGGTGACCCTGCTATTTTGAGAACTGTAGGGAAGGTGGAGGATTCAATGGATTTGTTAAAGAGTGTTGCAATGATTGGTGATAGCACTTGTGACACTTTTTTGTATATTACCCTGTTCTCACTCCAACACCTTGTCAGGTCCCAAAATCCATTAATCTCCACTTCCATCTAACACATTCACATATGCCTGCTCCATGTCCAGGCCCCTTGCACACAAAACCTCTTTTACCTCTATCTCCATCCTTTCCTAAGACGACCCCTACTCCTCCACCCCTCCACCCCTCCACTACAGATTTATACACTCTCTAAGTCATTCTATTTTGCTCCATCTTCTCTAAATGACAAAACTATCTCAATAACCCCCTCTTCAGCCCTCTGAATAATACTTTAATAACTCCACACCTTCTAATTTCCACACAACTAATTCTCTGCATAATATTTACACCACACATTGCCCCTAGATACATCTCCACTGCCTCCAGCCTCCTCCTTGCTGCAGCACTGACAACCCATGCTTCACATTCATATAAGAGTGTTGGTACTACTATCATACATTCCCTTCTTTGCCTCCATGGATAACATTTTTTGTCTCCACAGATACCTCAGTGCACCACTCACCTTTTTTACTTCATCAGTCCTTTGGTTAACCTGATCCTTCATAAACCCATCTGCTGACAAATCTACTCCCAAATATCTAAACACATTCACTTCTTCCATACTCCTTCCCTCCAATGTGACATCCAATTTTTCTTTATCTAACTTTTTTTAATACCCTCATCACCATATTCTTATCTATGTTCACTTTCAACTTTCTTTCTTTACATATATATTGTGGAAAAAGGGATCAATGTCATACAACATAAATTAAAATAATACTAGAGTCAAGTAACTTTGTGAAGACCAAAGAAATTATAGTATCTAAGCCAAATGAACCTCACGTCCACATCATTGACACGATAACTGAACTAAATACACCAACTTCTTCTCAACTGTAAGATCAAACCTAGCCAGCAAAGTCCAAAATCCAAATAAGAGCTCTCTAAATAGTTAACTCAAGCTCTGTATACCTATCAATATCTTATTTTACAGAGGTATTTATTTATTTATTATTAATTTGGACATGATACATAGATGTACAAAGAAATACAGTGGTTAAGTGTATCATGCCAAAAGCCCCTTATATGCAGAGCATTATGGGCAGGCTTAAAATTAACTTAAGATTAACTAAGCAATGATATATTCAGTGATAAAAATTATAGTAAACAAATCACAATTAAGCACAAATGAGTATTTCAAAGACAGGTCATATGGTCATTTGCTAGGTTGCTGTGTATTCAATAGAATGGAGTACATATTCTGTTAGGTAATGTAATTAAAAAAAAAAAGTTTGATAGGGTCACAGGTTAAACATTTATGACATACAATTATTTTTTTTTATTATCACACTTGCCGATTCCCACCAAAGCAGGGTGGCCCAAAAAACAAAAACTTTCACCATCATTCACTCCATCACTGTCTTGCCAGAAGGGTGCTTTACACTACAGTTTTTAAACTGCAACATTAACACCCCTCCTTCAGAGTGCAGGCACTGTACTTCCCATCTCCAGGACTCAAGTCCGGCCTGCCGGTTTCCCTGAACCCCTTCATAAATGTTACTTTGCTCACACTCCAACAGCACGTCAAGTACTAAAAACCATTTGTCTCCATTCACTCCTATCAAACACGCTCACGCATGCCTGCTGGAAGTCCAAGCCCCTCGCACACAAAACCACCTTTACCCCCTCCCTCCAACCTTTCCTAGGCCGACCCCTACCCCGCCTTCCTTCCACTACAGACTGATACACTCTTGAAGTCATTCTGTTTCACTCCATTCTCTCTACATGTCCAAACCACCTCAACAACCCTTCCTCAGCCCTCTGGACAACAGTTTTGGTAATCCTGCACCTCCTCCTAACTTCCAAACTACGAATTCTCTGCATTATATTCACACCACACATTGTCCTCAGACATGACATCTCCACTGCCTCCAGCCTTCTTCTCGCTGCAACATTCATCACCCATGCTTCACACCCATATAAGAGCGTTGGTAAAACTATACTCTCATACATTCCCCTCTTTGCCTCCAAGGACAAAGTTCTTTGTCTCCACAGACTCCTAAGTGCACCACTCACCCTTTTCCCCTCATCAATTCTATGATTTACCTCATCTTTCATAGACCCATCCACTGACACGTCCACTCCCAAATATCTGAATACATTCACCTCCTCTATACTCTCTCCCTCCAATCTGATATC